GATGATAAGATTCCATACATGAGAATCGCAAAAGCTCCAAAATAGGAGTGCTGGAAGTGATAAAGGAATATGGGAGAGTGGCAGGATACTGGATCAACAAGCAGAGGTCAATCAGATTGCTATATACAACTGATGAGATTACAGAAAAAGAAATCATGAAGGTAGTACCATTCACAATTGCCAAGCATACATTGAAATATGTAGGGATATACCTAACCAAGGGGGGAGAGGGAGATCTGTGTGAGGAAAACTACAGAACATTATTACAAGAAACCAAAAGGGACCTTCACAAATGGAAGAATATCCTCTGCTTGTGGATTGGAAGACTCAATATTGTAAAGATGTCAATCCTACCCAAGGCACTTTATAAGTTCAATACAATTCCTATACAAATACCAGCATATTTTTTTCCAAAGAAATGGAAAAACTAACTCCTAACTTCTTATGGAAAGAGAAGATGCCCAGAATTGGCAAAAAGTGTTCAAGAAGAACAATGAAGGAGGAGGGCTTGCATTACCAGACTTTAAAAGTTATTATATAACCACACTTGTAAAAACAGTATGGTACTTGTATAATGATAGCTACAGGGACCAATGAATAGGAAAAGAAAAATCCAGAAATAAAACCAGCAGCAGACAGACAACTGATTTTCAATTAAGGCCCTAAAAACATCTAATGGGAAGTGGATGCCCATTTTAACAAATGGTGCTGGAAAAACTGGATATCTACCTGCTGAAAAATGAAGCAAGACCCTTACCTCACTCCATATACAAGAACAATTTCAAAGTGCATCACAGACCTCCAGGTAAAAATCCAAGACTATCAGGGTCATCAATGAGAGAATTGGGACAAAGCTAAGAACTAAGGACTACCAGAACTAAGGACGGATGCACTCTCCGAGGAAGTTAAAATAGATGAGTGGGACATAATAAAGATAAAACACTTGTGTGCATCAAAAAACTTCATCAAGAGAGTAATAAAGGGGTCCACAGACTGGCAAGAGAGATTTAGCCATGACGTCTCAGACAAAGGGCTTATTACTAAAATCTACATAATTCTGCAAGCGCAGAATGCTGGGCGGCCAGGAGAGTGGAGCTGCCCGCTTTCTCTCATAGCTCTCGGTGAAGCATAAAATGGATTAAGTATTTTAATGGAATAAATGATATTTTGCTGTCTTGAAAGATACAGGGAGCAAGAAAAGAAGAGAACAAGGGATATTTTTACAGAGGTAATGGATCTCAAGAATAAGAACAGGGCATTCACTATTTGCTTTATGGGAGTCGAAAGCCTAGTCTTTCTCCTGTGGAGCTACTGGTTTTAAACTGCCGACCACGCGCATGACAACACAACACATAATATTAGGGAGGTCAAACTTCGTGGAAAGTAAGTGCAAGGTCAAATTCACTATAGAATGAAGCAGGATACACTACAGATATTATGAGCACTTTGCTCTTCCTCCAAGCGCGATCCTCCTTGGCTATTTGGGCCTCCTCATCTGGAGTGGGTGTGTTGTGCTGGTCAGGGCGCCACTGTGATAACTGCTGTCACTGTAGACACCAAGAGGAGTAAGGCTGGGTCCTCGCTTTTAGGAACTCACATTTCCTCGGGTTAGAAAAGTGTTGAGAATTAGGATTCAAGGGGATCTACCCTTAAGGAAGCATGAGGATGCTGCCGGGGAAACCCAGAGTTAGGTTTTACTACCTGAGTGAATCATGAAAGAAGCATAAGAGCAGTACATTTTATTGCCAAAAGGGAACGCATGAAATGCTGCTTGAAGCTGTGTATTGTGTTGAAGATTGACGAAGAGTGGGTATGGTTAGAGCTGAGTGCACAGAGTAAGAAGAGTGGAAGGAGAGCTATGAAATGCCAGATGGGGAAAAGAATCGAAGATCTGGGTCAACAATTTAAGCCTTATCACAGAGGACAAATGTGCTTTTCAAATCCTTGATGAAAAAAAAATTATTGGCTAAATTTTATAACAGATGTAGGGGGGAAACACAGATATATGGGCTTCTACCTATCAGTCCATCCGCCTTCGATGCCCTCAGGAAAGTGATGAGCGTGTTTCCAGAAAAACATTGATGAAACTGAAACACCCAAACAGCTATAATGTGGAAAGATCTCAGGAGGCCTTCTCTGACTTGTCTCCACATATGTTCGTTCCTTCAAGATCTGGTGCAAGCCCAGCCTCCATTAAGCAGAGTTTACCAGCATAAACCTATCTCCTTTTCTCTGTACATTGTAACATAGGTATTTGGCCCCCCATGCTTTCGTTCTTTTTTATCTGAGTTATAATCCTATGCCATCATTCTGAAACAGAACAAAGCATTATTATTTTTCCAGTCATCACAGAGGTGATTCTGACTCATGACAGTCCCCTGCATGTTAGAATAGACCTGCTCTCTACAAAGATTTTAATGATTGATTTTTTCAGAAATAGATATTCAGCCCTTCCAAGAGTCTACCTCAAAATCACAAAGTTATACATTTTTTTAATGCTACAGTGTCAAGGAAACCTATCTCAAGTATCTTTTTGTGCTCATGTGGAACCTGTGCATGGACCAAGAGTCAGTCGTTTGAACAGAACATGGGAATATTGAATGGTTTACAGTCAGGAAAGGTGTGCATTTGGATTGTATCCTTTCATCCAAGCCATGGTATTTTTAATGGCCTCATATGCATCCGAAAGTTGGACATTGAGTAAGGAAGACCATAGAAGAATTGATGTCTTTGGATTCCTGTGCTGGTGAAGAACATTGAAAGTACTATGAACAATGATTGCCAAAAGTGCAATCAAACGTGCTTTAGAAGAAGTACTTCCTGAGTGCTCCTGAAGAGTGAGGCTGGTAAGACTTTGTCTCATGTACTTCAGATATGTAAGCAGGAGACATTAGTCCCTGGAAAAGGAAGACCCTGGATGAGGGTGGTTGATACAGTGACTGTAACAATGGGCTCAAACATGACAGTAATTGCGAGGATGGCCACGACGGAGTAGTGTTTAGTTCTGTTGTCATAGGACAGGTATGAGTCAAAACTCGCTTGACGGCACCTAGCCACTATAACAATGAAACAGGCTTCTGAGGGGACCTGCTGGACTAGTTAAATTCTAGGCTCAGAAGGTTATGGTAACTGTTTCCCAGGATTCCAAAGGAGTAATCTTAAAAAAATTTTTAAACCATATAATTTGTGAAACTGGATTTGGTGGTAAATTGACACCTCAGAACATCCCCTCTATATTTTCAGTTCAAGTCATTTGTGACACCCTCCTCTTCCTCTCTGGCCTTCAGTAGTCTACCTCAACAACCTCCATGGATTCCGCTAAATTTTTTCCCCAGTTCATGGATTCCCATTTCACTCGTTTGATGAACTATTTTGATGCACACAGTGTCTTATTTTCAGTGGGCCCCACTCATGTATTTTGTCTTTTATTACGTGTTCTTTCTTCATTATACTTGATAGCAGGTCTGTGCCCTGCAATAGGGCCTTTAAGTTTGTCCTTTTTTTCTTAGTGATGAGCAAAGTGGTAATCTTGATAGATTTTCTTGGTGGATTTTTTATGAACAAGTTTTAAGAAAGTTGGAAACTGCATTGGTGAGAAACAGTCCAGGGAGGTTGGGCTTAGGAATTGTTTCCATTATGACAATACATCTCTTCATTTTCTGAGGGTGGCAGGAGGGCTGTCCTTTGAGAATTGTGTTTGGAAACCTCATCCTAAAGTCTTGATTTTGCCCCTTTAGGCTTCTTTTTGTTCCCCCAATGCAAATAACATTGAAAGTGGACCCAAGCTGAGTTTCCTGAGGATGCCAAAACTGCCATTTTGGTGTGTACACCCAAGGGCACAGAGTTTTGTGGGAAAGGGTTTGAGTTAGTTTATTGTGCCAACCTGGCCGATAAACACATGTGGGGTCAATTGAAGGGGGAAGGGATAAATGGTTCGGTGAGCCTTGCCTTTGTAGTTCTTGGACATCTTGCTTTCTGATGGTCGAACCAAGGTGCAGTTGCCTTAGCCAGTTCCCTGCTTCAGCTGGCTAGGCTCACTTCCTATGAGACATCCTTGAAGAGAAGCCACGTGGACCTGATGCAGCCCTGGGTGCTGGAGCAGTCGTGTGGAGACCCCTGCCAGTGCTGAGATGTTTACACACTCACTGATTCGGCTTTCCTCCTGCAGTCGGCATGGTTGTATCTGTTTTGTGAGATGGAGGAGGACTTTGTGGATTGGTGTTGGACATAAGGGTTAATGGGTTAATGTTAGACTTGTGGGCTTGGGCAGCACTGGGTTGGGATGTTTTCTTGGTGCGCACTTACCCTTCATTTAAAACTCTCTCTTACACATGAGTTTCTGTGGACTTGTTTCTCTAAAGTTCCCAGACAGACACAGGTCAGAGAGAAGGAAGCATGCCTTCAGCAGTACAGAGATCTAGATGGATCACATGCCCCGAACTATGGACTCGAGTTAAGGCCTTTTTGGAATGCAAAAGCTTGTTTGATGTTGTAACAGTACTTGTTGACTTATCTCCATTTATGAATATCTGAACCCCAGTTCGAGATAAGCAGTAACGGAAACACCTGCATCGAGTGAGCATGGTGACAACAAAGTGGACGCATTGATTCTGGAACGTACTGCTCACTCTCCCCATTGCCGAGCCTTTCCAGACTCTTCTCCAGGTGAGAACCGCCCATACTTTTTTCACTTTCATGTCTACACCTTGAATAACTCCAAAGGACACTCAAGCAAGAGCACTTTTCTGTACTTGTCTCTGTTTTTATTGTTGTCGGGACTAACAGGAGGACTGTGAGCCATAGAGTTTTTGGTCATCTTTTACTTGAATTTGTCAAAAGAAAGAAACCCTAACACACACACACACACACACACACACACACACACGAGAAATGGATTTGAATTGGCAAACACCAAGCATTTTTGCTCTGTTTCATAGTGATAGTATAGTAATAATTAAAAAATGTGAAGGCTTATGGTGGCCAATAAAACTATAACAGAGTATGGAAAATAGGATTTAAGTTTATTCTGTGAAACAGATAAAACTCCTTAATGGATGAATTTTTGCTGGATCTGGAAGGATTGAAAGATGTAGAGAGGAGAGTTCAGGGGAGAACATTGGTGGTGTGGATGGAAGTGAAGGGTCCCTCAGTGGAGGAGCTCTATAGATGACAGCACAGAATTAGTCTGAAAATCTATCCCTTTTCAGATAGGAATGAAGCGGAGCTTGAATGGGGGCGGCACAGATGCAAACCCATTGGCAACTGGAGTGATGTCAATATCCTTTGGATCAATCAGAGGCTTCAGGGTAAATTTCTGCAAAATGGTGGTCAGGAATATAAACAGCTCCATGCGGGCCAGGCCTTCTCCCACACAAGAACGTTTTCCTGAAGATAACAAACATAGAAGTTAGATGCTCCTTGAACACAACATTTCTGGACTGGCACACACAACCTATTAGATGGATGGTCGAATAGATGGGTAGCTTGAAGGTAGGATGGCTGGATGGATGGTTGGACCGAAAGATGGACAGAGAAGGGACATGTGTTCTATTTACCTAATGTCGTATCTGAATGAGCGCTCTTCAGTCCACAAGTGTTAATTGTGTGTTTTCTGTGGGGAGTCAGTGAAGATGAGGAAAGTCCCCAGTGAGATGCCTTGATCTCATTGTGTCGAACAGACCACTGTCAACGGTCTCCAGGCTCTGGACACCCCGTTTGCACAAGGCTGCGGATGTCAGTGAAAGCCCAGCATCCATCCATTAAACCTCTAGTGAATCCCTTCTGATCAAAGACCATGGATGTGAATAGCCTCGCTATCACAAGGAGTATATTGGAAAGAGGATTATTACAGATGTAGTTAGGTTAAAACACCTTACTTATCGTTTGATCTCCCTTTTGACCCATTTAAACATTGTTTCAGTTTTTAATTTTTCCACCTTCTTTCTGATTGAGGTTTTCCTTTGTTTTATTTTGTCATTGCTGTTGTTTTTTGATATGTTTGCTGTAGGTGGAATCCAGGATAGGTAAATCTATAGGGACAGGAACTGGATTTCCTACGGTAATGTCAGGAGGAGTGGCTGGGAGGAAATGGGGAGTTAACCATGAGTACAAGAAAGAGAACATTCTAGAATTCATGGTTGTAATGATTGCACAATTCCCTTTCACAGGATTGAGCTATTGAATTGTGTGATATGTGAATACGTCAATGAAACATAATAACAAAATAGACCAGGGGACATTGCATACATGAGGTCACCGTTGGAGCTCCCTCCATGCAAATCACAAAAGCCACCGTCTTTATCCCAAACACCTCATGAAGTCTTCCCGCATTTGGAGGGCAATTTTTATATTGCAAGTTTCCATCTTTTTCCCCCCTTAGAAACACCTCCACCTCCCTTCTTTACCAAAGAGAATTAAGGAGAGATGGACTGAGAGGAGAGGGTTTTTATAACGCTGTTTTATTTTCTACTTGTGGCAGAAATTCAGCGAATGCTTTGATACCTTCCTTACCTACTTGAAAAAGTGCAAGGTGAAACCTGCCCTTCCCACACTTTATAAACTTTCAGTGGACTCCCGTGCCTCTGTAGCGTGAAAGCCCTCCTTAGATGCATTAGTTGACCGAGACCATCACATTCGGTCCCCAGTCTGACATTTCCCTTCCTCCTTCCACTCCTCACACTTTACACTCTCGGCTCCAGCCGTTCTCAGCTTCATTGATCTCAATCTCAACACGCAGTTCCAAGTGGTAGCTCTTGCCTTTCTGTTTGACTGAGATGCACTTCTTTTATGCTTCCTTCAGGATTTCAATCGAATGCCATTTCCTCTTTATAGTCTTTGTAGTTCTCACCCAGCAATACAATCTGTCTCTGGGTCCCCTCAGCATGATAGCCATGTTTCCACTGAGGCATAATGTCAATAAATCGTAACGCTATGTGTCTACTCTGTTGAGAGGTGAGTTTCTAGAAGTGGAGAACCAGTCCTTTTTGTCTGAATATCTGCGATGGCAGATGCAAGCAAGCATCAGCGATCCTAACACAAGGGAAAGTGACACCCTGACCTAAAGTTCCGCGCACACACTCCAAGTGAGGAGACACTAGTATCCGAGAGGAGGACAATGATTGCGGGTCAAGCAGGATGCTCTGAAATCGTTGTAGGGAATTGTGTCTCATTCCTGATGTTTTCTGGGCCTCACTGTTCATTGGGAGGGGGTTCTAATAGTATATAACAAATGTCTTACTTTTGTCTCTGTGATCTATTCCCTCTGTAAAAACGCCCTCTTTCCTAGGTTTCTTATTAAGCAGCTCAATGAAAATATTGCTTATTGTATTTTATTCCTCACTGTGGGGCGTAAGAAGGTAAGAGAAGGACCACTTTCTTGGCTCCAGAGGAGCTTCTACTTCTCTCTCTAACAGCATGAGTGTATTGGATTGGAACAATCCATTTATTCTACTTCCCTACCTGGGTTGTGAACCCCTGCTAACCCAATCTGTGCCTGTGCATATATCTGTCCCCAGAGTGCAGCCTGGGTGGGGATGGAGTTGAGGGACAGTGCAAAAAGGTACTCACTAAAGTCACCACTGAGATATCATTTTTGCAGTAGTTGAAGACTATCTCAGGGAGTTTCACGTCCTAAAAGAAGCTTTATCATTGTGTATGTCAGTGAAGAATCTGGACAGGCTTCCTGCCTCTCTTTTGAAGAAGGGGCCACCTCCCCAGGGACCCATTGCTCAGGTCTGTGTAATGGATGGGAAAGCCCTTGGGCATTGGGAGTGGCCCTGCTGATCATGAACAAGGCTCGATTCTACCAGCCCAAGGGCAGACATCACCCAAGTCCACACTCTTCGCATAAATTTAGCCTGCTCCTTGAATCACAGATGCGTGTACAGGTCTGTTACCTGCAGAGAAAGCCATGAAGTAGTCACTCTTCTTGAAGTTGCCATTCTTATCCAGAAAGTGGCCGGGGTCAAACGTCTCTGGGTGGGGAAATTCTTTGTCGCTGTGAAGCACAGATGTCAGCGAGGTTATTATGGTCGTGCCCTGGAATAAACAGACAAAGAGACCGAGTAACTTTACAGTTTGTGTGGTGTGTGAGTGTGTGTTTGTGCATGCGCTTTTCTTTAGATTGTTGAAGGCTTTGCTTGTCTGCTTATTTAGTGACTTCCTTGAATGATTTCGCTAGGACCGCCTTCCTGGAAGTGTGTGGACATTTCTATTTTTCGGTTGTGTTCAGTGTTTGGAATGAGATTTTCTTGGTCTAAGGGGAAACACAAATGTTGGTCCCGTTGTTTTCTCCTCCTAGCAAAGTCGGAGGAGTTATAAAACCAGCTATTAAGAGCTAACAGTAACTCTGAGCACTCCAAATTGGAGAAAAGATCAAACTCACCAAGTTGTACACTTTTGGTCTTTTTTTTGCTTTCATCTTGTGTTGGTAAGGACTGGAATCATGGTGAGAGGACAGAACTTTGAGAGCACTGAGATGCAGTGGAAAAGAAACAAACCTTACCTTGGGGATGAGGTAATTTCTGAATTTAATGTCCTGGATCGCTGCATGCGGCAGGTTCGTCGGGAGGAGGGAAATGTATCTCTGGATCTCATGCACCGTGGCATCTGTGTAGGGCATATTACTCTTGTCCTGCATGGAGGGGCACCGGTGTCGGCCAACCACATTGTCAATCTCTTCCTGGACTTTAGCTGATAAGACAGAAGTGAGGGCCAGAGAAAAAGAAAAAGAAGGGGTATATTTACCATAGCAATTCAGTATTACATGGAGAAGCATTCCGAAGATGTACCACAATTGTTATGACTATACTTTGTATATGACAGAAGTATACCTAGATGGAACAATAGAATTACTGTAACACAAGTACCTGTACTTTCCTACAAGCTAGGCATTAGTTTAAATCTGTACTCACCTTTATGTTAACTTACAGGATAACTACTAATACAAAGAGAAATGATTAAATGCTTCAAAATATAAATCACACATAATTGGCTCATGATATTACTATTGCTTTAGAAAAGAAGAATGAAAGATTAATAAAATAATAGGCACACTTTCAAAAATTATATTCGACTATTATATTTATACTTAGGAATGTCTGTGTTTGTGGGCAATGTCCCCCATTCTTCAATGGTGTCTGCTTTGAATCTCTCAAGTGATTTCACCCAAAATTTATGTTCATATTTCTAAATAAGGACTCTATTTCTTGATTTATCCATTTTCAGCGATTATCATATGACATCCTAATTAAGATGATGCTCATTTCCATTTGAATTATCAATCCTTTACAAAATCCATCCACAGAGGCGGAAATATAACACGCTGGGACACAGTGATGCAAAGTAACCAGCGCTCTGTCTCCCAGTCTCTGTAAGCAGCTGGGAACTGCTAGCCGCTCCTGTGGCCAGAGGTGTGGTTTTCCACTTCTATAGAGACTTACAGTCTCAGAAACTCGCGGGGGCCACTCTAGCCTATCCTTTAGGGTCACTAAGTGCTCTCATCAGCTTAATGGCAGTGAGTTTTTCTTTTAACCCTATCACACAGTTTGGTGATACCAATTGTTATTATTTATATATGGCTAAATAAATATTGTTTCCTGATAAGTTGTTTCAATTTTTGTATATTTTTAGATTTCCAACTATCCCTTACAATTCCAAAATTTTCAGATGATTTCCAAGTGCTCAGGTAAATGTCTCAATTCCTTTGTTTCTAATTGTCTTATTATTTTTATTTCTCCATTAAACTTGGAGAGGTTATACCTGGGGCCATCAAAATTGAATCAATGAGGCTTCTTCAAAAGAAACAAGATGGAAAAGAGTAGCAGTGTCTTGTTGGCCATCTGAATTTCACCCTGCCAAGTATTGTGGCCATACCTGTGACTTCCGGGTGCTTCATCAGCAGCAGGAGACCATATCTCAGGGTGGTGCTTGTCGTCTCTGTCCCAGCTCCAAACAGGTCATTTACAGTGGTTATCAAGTTCTCAATAGCCCAATATTTACTGTACTTTTCCTGTGAATAGTATGCAATAGTTTGGCAAATTAGTTTGCAAGCATATTTCATTACATTGATTCCTAAATAACCCAGATTGTTATAAATTTAAGCAGTCTTGGAAATTAAATAGCCTTTTTGGGTGGCAGGGAGGGGGAAACTCCTGTGTGGTAGACAGTGGAGATCAGATGTCTCAATCTTCATTTCTGACCTGTTTTTCCATTTCTGCTTGACAACCTTTGGCAGCTAGATGGGCCATGTAACATGGTTCTTGCCCACGAAGAATAAACAGAAGCCTGTTGGTGATACTTCTTTTCCTTTATTCTTACTCAAAATGCAAATATGAATATGCAGTTGCGGCAGATTACTTTTTCAGAAATGAGGGTGTAAGTTTGAAGCCAAAGACTGTCATCTACATATGATGATGAAAAATGGAAAGTACTTGAACTGTTGATGCTGCGGGGGCAATCTACTAGCCTTTGCCTGGCCAAACATGAGACGAGTGTACGTGTGATTAAGAAGCCTCTTGTCTATTTAAGGTACTGCTAGTTGGGTTTCTTCTCCTTTGCAGAAAACACAATCTACTATTAAAAGTAATGTTTAGGAAATATCTAGTTGAAATGCCAGAGAGAACTTGGGCCCTCTATAGCTTGGGATAACTGGAGAAGCCTCAAAACATTAGGACGCCTGTCAAAATGTGAACAAAACAGGTAGGTGCATCTTCTGGAAAAGTGCGTCCACACCTTCGGTCAGAGTCTCTTAACTGGGACTCCAAAAGGATGAGCATCGCTCATTGCCACAGCAGCAGAGGAGGCAGATCGTGGAAATGATGTTGCTTCTGTCTCCAGTTTCTTCACACCATGACCTCTCTTTTACGGCATTCCATCTGGAACACATGCTTTGCATGGTCCACTTCAAACCCCGTTTTCATCCACTGACTGATTTCTTATTTCTGCCCAGTGCTCCAAAGCGGTCGCCATCTAGATATTTTTGGTGTTGGTTAAATTTCACAAATAGGACATGTGCTCTCACACTGCAATTTCCACAGAATTCCTTGCGTTTTGACATGTTCCATAGGCCTCCTATATGGATCCCTGATTGAGCAGTGGTCACATCATGGGCTGCTAACCCAAGCACCTGTCTGCTGAAGGCAATGTCCGGAGGTGGAACCCACAAACCAGCCCAGAGGGGAAAAGCCTTGGTGATTGGCCCTTGTGAAAAATTAAGCTTCAGAAATCCTATGGGGGTGGATCTACCCTGTCACCTAGAGTCACTATGTGTCAGAGTTTACTTGCTAACAACAACATTCAAAAGCCTTCCCAAGTACAGAATACTTCCTATTTAAAAAAAATCTATATTTACATTTAAAAACAATATTACTTTAAAAAATTTCCATGGCACTCCCTAACTGATTATCTTCCTAGACTTCTGAGAAAATGATAAGATAGCCCACCTTCCTTTAACTTAAGACCCTACATTTCCATGGCCCACACTGTAGTTGAGACCAAGTCTAAATAAATGAACAATCTCCTGGTTGGCCTTCATCTCCGTATCATTATAGAGACTATATTCTGCCTAACTTCCAGGACTGTTTCTCTAAGGATAACTGGCACTTTTAGTCCAGAGTTGACTTATACACCTTCCTACTGAAGCAAAACTTTCCACGCCAACATTTCTGTTTACATATAACTTGATAGACCCCCAAATCCAACTCCATACCTGTCCAAATTCACTTTTGATTACATTCAATTAAGGCTTCTCTCTTCCATCCACCTAGTCTCTTTGATACCACACACTCCCGAGCCTCTGCATATGCCACGCAACCCATTTGAACTGCCTTGTGTGACACATTAGAAATGATTTTTTTCACACTTGCAAACATTATATAAAATGATTATTTTCATCTTCATTTGATGTCACGATATTTTATATTTCTGACTTCTTGTTCTTCTTCTTCTTGTTTTTAATCATTGGGGGCTCGTACAGCTCTTATAACAATCCATACATCCATTGTGTTTTCTGACTTCTTGTAATTGCTTCCATTTCAATTTAGGTATGCTTTTTGTTTCTCTTTTGGCTGAATAATAATACCTAAAGAAACACGTCTGTGTAATCTGATAAGTTAACCATTTAATTGAAAATTATTTTATGATGGTTAGTGCATATCTTGCATACCAAAAGTATCTAAAATTCTTGTCACATTGCTTGCATGATCAATTAAACATGCCTATCAAATAGAGTGAACCACAAAATGCACATGTTAACAAACGACTGATCTGTCAGTAGTAGTTTACCTGTTTCATCTGGATCAGGAAACAATCAATGAAGTCCCGAGGATTGTTAACGTCCAAGGAATCTTGGTGCTCTTTTATTTTCTTCAAAGCATAATTGTCCAAAAATGCAACATTATTAAGTATTTTTTTATGGCCCCCTGGGAAATAGTTAAAGAACCCAGGTAAAATATTGTAGATCTAAAAGAAAGAAAAATATTTATTAAATAAATAATATCTCATGAAGACATATATGCTGAATCATAAACTTTTGTTAGAAATTTGTCCTATAAACATTAATAAATATGGTCTTCAAGTTGAGGGGTAGCTTTTAGTGTATATATAAAGTAATTTTCTATGCTTATTGAAAGATTGTAAAGAGAAAATTGATCAGAGGATCAAGGATGATAGTAACAATATTCCATATGTATGAATGCAACAATCAAGAGATCAAAAGACTTGTTGGATGGGATACATTTTCTACACAAGACCTTTCAGAGGATTGAAAAGCAAGGATGTTGCTTTGAGGACTAAGGTGCGCCTGACCCAAGCCATGATGTTTCAATGACTACATGTGCATGTGAAAATTGGACACTGAATAAGAATCAATTAATTATGGTGCTGGTGAAGAATACTGAAAATATCATGGGCTGCTAAAAAGATAAACAAATTTGTCTCGAAAGACTTATGGCCAGAGTGTTCCTCAGAGGCAAGGATATGGAAACTTCTGTACTTTGGATATGTTGTCAGGAGAGACCAGTCGTTGGAGAAGGACATCATGCTTGGTAAAGCAGAGGGGCAGCGAAGAGAGGAAGGCCCTCAATGAGATGGATTGAACAGTGGCTGCAGCAACAGGTTCGGACATAGCAATTATTGTGAGGATGGTGCAGGGCTGGGCAATGTTTGCTCTGTTGTGCAGAGAGTCACTAAGGGTCAGAACCCACTCGATGGCACCTAACAACAACAACAACAACAACAAATGTATACATTATTTTTACTGTTTAAAGGCATCATTATATCAATCCTCTAGAGTTTTTTTACATTACTTTTTCTCTCCAAGAGTGAAATAGAGGATGGCATAATTTAGTAGGATTCACATTTTATTGATAACATAAGGGAGTTGGACAACCGGATGTGGAGCACAAAGTCTCAGAAATAGTATCAATATTTTAGAACTGGAGGAGCTTGAAATTACCATGACACCTAACAGCATGTCATGGATAACTATGAAAAAGAAAAATTAATTGACTTCTCTAAGATCAGGCAATTATCAGTTAGGCTGAATGTGAGATGTGGACAAGACAAAAGTGTGATGTTTGTTTATGATTCATGTAGTAAAAAACTCAATAACTCATCTTAACTGAATGATTTAAACCACCACTTGTCTGTCAGTTTGCTGTACTGTGATGGTTTATGTGTTGCTGTGATTGATGCTGGGATCTATGCCACTGGAATTCAAAGACCAAGGTGATTAGGTTTCAGCAGAGCTTTCAGACTACCGACAGACCAAAAATGAATAGCTGTCTAATTCTGGGGAATTAGCAACAGAAAACCTTAATACCAGCGGAACACTGTCAGATATAGTGCCAGAGGAGTCCCTCAGGTCAGAAGGCATTCAAAATACAACTGAGGAAAAGCTGCCCTCTTAAAGTAGAGTTAATCATAATGACCTGGAGGGAGTACAGCTTTCTGGACCATCCTTTGCGGATGGAGCGCAAATTAAAATGAGAATAAATATATGCAAACAATTTTAATAATCAGAACACAGAATGCAGGAAGTAGAAACCTAGGAAAACTGGAAGTTGTTAAAAGTGAAATGGAATGCATAATGATCAATATCCTAGGCATTTGTGGGCTGAAATGGATTGGTATTGATCATTTTGAATCAGATAATCGTATGGTTTATTGTGCTGGGAATGACAAATTCATGAGAAATGATGTCCCATTCATCATTTCAAGATATGTAAATTGATATATAAAATTGTCTGTGATAGGATAATATCTATACACAAAGAAACCCAGTGAATACAGCAATTATCCTAATGTACACAACAACCACTAATGCTAGTGATAAAGAAATAAAACAATTCTACCAACTTCTGGCTGAAGTAGATCAAACGTGCATTGAAGATGCATTGATTACTATTGGCCATTGGAATGTAAAAGTTGGAAACAAAGAGGAAGGAACACTAGTTGGAAAATATGGCCTTGGTGACAGAAATGAAGCTTGATATTACGTGACAGAACTTTGCAAGACCAATGATTTCTTCATTGGAAATACATTTTCAATATCATAAATAGTGAGTGTACACATGGACTTCTCCAGATGGAATACACAAGAATCAAATGGACTGCATCTGCAGGAAGAGACGATGGGGAAACTTAATATCAGTCATCACAATGAGATGACCAGATGTTGACTGTGGAACAGACTATCAATTGCACATATATAAGTTCAGGTTGAAGTTGAAGACATTTAAAACAAGACCATGGGAGTGAAGATATAACCTTGAGTATTACCCATTTGAACAAATATCAAGAACAGATTTGACTCTCTAAACACTAATGACAGAAGTCTTAATGAACTGTGAGAGATATCATGAACATCATACATGAATAAAGCAAAAGGCTATTTAAAATAATGAAAAGATAGAAAGGACTACAGTGGATGCCCAAAGACTGTTGAACTTGTTTTAATTGCCAAGTAGTTAAAGCAAATGGAAGAAATGAAGAAGTAGAAGAGTTGGACAGAAAATTTCAAAGGACAGCCCAAGAAGACAAAGTAAAGTATTATGAGGAAATGTACAGAAACCTGGAGTTAGAAAACCAAAAGGGAAGGACACATCCAACATATGTCAAAGGGAAAGAACTGAAGAAAAAGTTCAAGCCACAAGATATAATAGTAAAAGAGTCTATGGTCAAAATATTGAACAGCGCAGGAAGCATCAAAAGAAGATGGAAAGAATAAATAGTCACAGTGCCAAAAAGAATTGGTTAACATTCAACTATTTCAAGAAGCAACATAAAATCACGAACTAATCGTACTAAAAGAAGATGTCCAAACTTCTCTGATGGCATGATCGGGGGTGGGGGGGAGAGGAGAATATCAACTAGAAGGTTGCAACAAGCTGATGAAGCACTCAGTCATCTATGCCAAGAAATTTGGAAGACAGGTACCTGGTCAACAGATGGGAAAAAGATCCATATTTGTGTCCACACCAAATAAGATGACCCAATAAAATGTGGAAAATATCACTAATATCTCAAGCAAGTAAAATTTTGCTGAGGCTCATTCCACAATAATTGCAGCTGTACATTGACAGAGATTTGAGAGATATTCAAACCAGAGTCAGAGAAGAAAAACATGGAATGGGATAACCTTGCTGACTTTAGATAGATGTTGACTAAAAGCAGAGAATACCAGACAAAGGTTTATTTGTGTTTTATTGACTATGCAAAGGCATTTGACTGTGGATCATAAAAAACCATGGATAGCCTTAAGAAGAATGGGAATTTCAAAACATTTCATTGTGCTCATATGGAATCAGTACATGGACCAAAGTCAGTCATTTGAACAGAACATGGGACTACTGAGTGGTTAAAATCAATATAGGTGTGCATCAGGGTTATATCTTTTTACAATAATTATTCAAGCTGTAGGTTGAGCAAGTAATCCAAGAATCTGGACTCTGTCAAGAAGAAAGCAGAATCCGTATCAGAGGAAAGCTTACAAAGAACCTATGATAGCAGGTGATAGAATCTTGCTCACTGAAGGGGAGGAGGACTTGAAGCATTGTAGCTGAAGAACAAGAAATGCAGCGTTCAAGTATGAATGACAGCTCAATGTAAAGAAAACCAAAATCCTCCCAACGGTACCAAGAGGTAACATGATAAACGGAGAAAAGTTTCAGTTGTCAAGGGTTTAACTTGCTTGGATCCACAACAGTGCTTATGGAAGCAGCAGTAAAGAAATCAATCAAACAATGTATTGCATTAGATCAATCTGCTGCACACGATCTCTTTAAAGCTTTGAAGAGCGAGGATGTCACATTGAGGACTAAGGTACTTTGAATCATCTCAAACCAAAGTGTTTGCAATCTCATAGGCGTGTGAAAGTTGGAAATTGAATAAGAAAGACCAAGGAAGAATCTATGCTTTCAGTTATGGTGGCAGTGAAGATTATTGAAAGTACCATGTACTGCCAGAAAAATAAACAAATCTGTCTGAAAAAAGTATGGCTAGATGTTTCTTAGAAGCAAGGATGGTGAGACTTCGTCTCACAACTTGTTACGGGATGGGTCAGTCCTGGGAGAGGAGTTCTTGCTTGGTAAAGCAAAAGGGTTGAGAAAAAGAAGATCTTTGATGAGACGGATGAACACAGTGTTTGTGCTAATAAATAAAATACAATTGTGAGGATGGCACAGGACCAGCTAGTGTTATGTTTTGTTGTCCATCGGGTTGCTATGTACACTGATATTATCTCACTAACATAACAAAGAAAACCCATTTCCAAATGGTATCAAAGACCAAGCTCTCAGAAGTATTGTACGATTCTGCTTGATGTGATTGAACTATGGAATGATACGAGATATGTATCAACCTCCAAGTAATAATAATTTAAAAGGGAAAAATTATGTCTACCATTTATGGGAGTAGACAGTCTCATTGTTCTCCCCAGGAACAGTTGGTGGTCTGGAGTTACTGACCTTGCAGTTCGCAGCCAGCACATAATTCACCACACCACTAGGGTGTTTCCAATTGGTACAGGGGCTAGAATTTACAACACACACTTTCGGAAGACAGAATTCAATTAATAATAGACCCTCGGGAGGAAGTTTGTGTTTAAAGTACAGCGTGGTTCATATAGAATTTTTCTCTCACCAGAGAAAGAAACATAAATGATTTCTCCAGAGGAAAGGATCTTGGTCTCACCTGGATCCATGGGCTGCTCAGAATCCTGATATTATCATTGAGCATTTCCATAAACTTAAGAAGTTCCTGATCTGTATAATCAAAACGTTTCTGGAAAATAATGGAGCAGATCACATTGCAGGGAGCACAGCCCAGGATGAAAGTGGGATCACAGGGTGCACCTGAGGAATTGAAACATAAAACAAACAAACAAAAAGCCAACACTTTAAAATACACATATGAAAATTCATTGTGTTTCAGAACAGGTGTCCTAGTTTATCTAGCGCTACTATCATGGAAGTGCCACAGATAGATAGCTTTACCGAAGTGTTTTCTCTAGCAGTTTAGTGTGCTATACACCCACACTTAGCGTGCCATTCTAGGGAAGGTTTTCTCTTTGTGACAGCTCTGGAGAGTGGCTTTGTCTCCTTTCCAATCTGTGGACCTAGCATCCCTTGGTGATTTCCATGTGTCTTGTCATCTCTCTTGTAGGTTCTCAGTACAGAGTCCCTGGCTCCTATGGACGTTCTCTGGATTCTTCTTTCTTGGTGGTAACTGGTCTCTCCTTCTCTGGTGGCTTCTTTCTCCTTTTATCTCTTTCAAGACAAAAGATGATGCACAGACCTGATTGCAAAGACATAGGTTCTTTTTTGTTTTATTTTTCTTTTCTCTTTTTTCTTTCATGTCTACCTATATAATATAGGCAGGATAAACAATCCTGAGGAGAAAACAACAGGAGTGACGGCTCTGCCAGGAGAGATGAGGAGGTGGGGGAAAGGGTGGGGAGAGCCAACAAACTCAGGGACAAGTGAACAACAAGAGATCTAAAGTAGATGGTGAGGAGGGCATAGGATGCCTGATGGGATTCGATCAAGGGCAATGCAGCTAAGAGGAAGTACAGAGAGCTGAATGAAGGTCAAACATGATAGTGAGACAGGAGGAAAATAAAAGGAAATAGAGGAAAGAACTAGGAGGCAAAACACATTTATAGAGGTATAAACATAGGCATGTACCTATGTAAATATATTGATATATAATATAGGAATATAGGTCTATGTACATATATTTATAGGTTAAGTATTAAGTTAGCAGAAGGAGCTCTTTTGAAGATGTAATTGAGGATAACTTAAAACTGTTGTGAAGAAACGATAGGGCACTGGGTAGAAACAATAGTTTGTTGAGTGGTAGGACACTGGGTAGAAACGATCGTTTGTTGAGCGGTAGGACACTGGGTAGAAACGATAGGGCATTGAGCAGTAGGATACTGGGTAGAAATGAAAGGGCATTGAGCAATAGGATACTGGGTAGAAATGATAGCTTGTTGAGTGGTAGGACACTGGGTAGAAATGATAGTTTGTTGAGTGGTAGGACACTGGGTAGAAATGATAGTGTGTTGAGCAGTAGGACACTGGGTAGAAATGATAGTGTGTTGAGAGGTAGGACACTGGGTAGAAATGATAGTGTGTTGAGTGGTAGGGCACTGGGTAGAAATGATAAGTGTGTTGAGTGGTAGGACACTGGGTAGAAATGATAGTGTGTTGAGCGGTAGGACACTGGGTAGAAATGATAGTTTGTTGAGTGGTAGGACACTGGGTAGAAATGATAGTGTGTTGAGTAGTAGGTCACTGGGTAGAAATGATAGTGTGTTGAGTGGTAGGACACTGGGT